TTGGGCTACATTTACCTTCTGGGGATGGTGAGGAGGGGACTTCGTGGGCAAGGGGACAGTGAGCCAGCTGTCCTATGGCTGAGCATGGAAAGCTCGGGAATAAATGCTCCCTCCCTTCCCCTACTTCTTCTCCCCTCCCTTTTCCTCTCTTTCCTTCTCCTCCCCTTTCTGTACTTGGCCCAGTTAACTTGGCCTGGGTACCTATACACGGTAGAAGTCAGAGTGAACAAATGAATGAATGAATGAATGAATGAATGTCTTGAAATGAAGAGTTGGGTAGACCTAGGTTTGGATCCTGCCCCCACCAGTTTTTGGCTGGGTGACCTTGAGCAGATAACTTAATGCAGCAGTTCTCAACCTGTGGGTCGAAACCCCTTTGGCGGTCGAACGACCCTTTCACAGGGGTCACCTAAGACCATCCTGCATATCAGGTATTTACATTACGATTCATAACAGTAGCAACATTATGGTTATGAAGTAGCAACGAAAATAATTTTATGGTTGGGTCACAACATGAGAAACTGTATTTAAAGAGCCAGAAGGTTGAGAACCACTGACTTAATGCCTCTGAACTTCAGTTTCCTCATCTGTCACACTAAGATGATACGTCATGGAGTTGTGAGGAGCAAACGAGGTGAATCAATGGAAAGACCTAGAATCATGCCTGACATTTAGGACTCCCTAAATTATAACTTCTGATTATTTGCACTAAACATAGAGTGATTGGGTCACCCTCTAACCTTGCACTTCAGCACACATTTACTGAGCAGCTGGGATGTGCCAAGCATTGCCGAGGCCCAGTCTCTTCTCTCAGGTTGCTTATAGTTTGATGGACACACAGCCTTGAAATATCACTGAGAGAGCTCATAACAGCCGTCACTGAGAGCACAAAGGGCTGTGGGAAAGGTCCTCTCTGCCCTGGGCTGCAGGTCAGGGAAGGCTTCCTGGAGGAGGAGTTTCCCTTGGTAAACATCCAGCATGGGCAGAGAAAACATGGCAAGGACATGAATGGCTTGCTTGGGGGACACTCGGAGTCCAGTCGAGCAGTCCTCTCTAACTGCCCGGGCACAAACAGCATCCTCTCCACTCTGTTACTCCCTCCCCGCAACATTGCTCCATTTTGCTGCCCTGTCACCTCTTGTCCTAATATGTAGTGACTTGATTTTGTGTTTCCTGCCTAGCTCTCTCTACCAGGACATCAGGCCCACGAGTGCAGTGTCATAGCTTTGTGTCTCCTGCCAAATTCATACGTTGAAGTCCTAACCCCCAACACCCCAGGGTGTGACCCTATGGGGAGAAAGGATCTTTTCAGAGGTAAGCACGTTAAAGGGAGGCCATTTTAACCTGATCCACTATGACTGGTGTCCTTAGGAAGAGGGGAAATTTGGAGGCAAACACACAGGCACTGGGAGAATGCCATGTGCAGATTGCGGTTATGCTGCCGTGAGCCGAGGAACCACCAGACGCTGGCGAGAGGCTGGGCACAGATCCTCCCTCACAGCCCTCGGAAGGAACCGGCCCTGCTGACACCCTCACCCTGAACTTCCAGCCTCCACAACTGCGAGACAATACATTTCTGTTGTTTCAACTCCGGGTCTGTGGTACTTTGTTATGGCAGCCTGAGCAAGCTGGAATAGGCCCAGCCTTCTTTTTCTTTTTTGTATTATCACTCGGGGGCCCGGCATTGAGTAGGTAGCACAGTTCATAGCTCTTGAATGAATGGGCTTTGCTTGTGACGGGCAGGAAGTGAAGGCAATGAGGGGAAAATGAGCGAGAAGGTGAAGGGTCCTGAGTGTCAGGGTGAGTTTGGACTTGCCCTGCATGGGCGATGGGGAGCCACTGAAGGTGATTTAGAAGGCTCCTCCGGCCTCATTGCGCAGGCTGGACGCAAAGAGGCCAACTTGAGGCAGGGAGAATAGGGCAGCACTGAACTGTTGTACACGTGGGCAGTGATGAGGGCCACCTCTTGGGTGACAGTGCAGGTGGAGTGGAGGACCTGCAGGGAGGGCGAAGGTGTGGTGCAGATGAGGGGCGGGGGGAGGGTCTGGTGTTTTCAATCTCCTCCAAGTCTCACCTGCTGCCTTTCTGGTCTTCTTTCCCAAGGACCTTTTGCCTGCTCCTTTGATCATTTGCCTGATCAAATCCCAGCTTTCTCTTGCCCAATGTGCAAAGCTCATGGGACTTTGGGGGTGGGGGCTCTCAGATCCCCCCTTGGGGGTGTGGGGAAGAGGGCTGTCTTCAAACTGCTCACCGTCTGTGGACAGAGTCCTAAAACCGGTGCTAATGGAGCTACCCCAGAGCACACAGTCGGGTGGAGGAGACACATCCCTATCTGATGGAGGAGATAAGATCTGTGGCTTGGGAGAGACCCCGTGTATGACTGGGAGCTCCTATAAGAAGCTGCTGCTAATACGAGGCCTGGGAGGGCTTCCTTAAGAAGTGGGCTTGCAGGAAGTTTGGGGAAGGAGGGGGTACTAATATGGTGGAGGGGAGGAGGAGTGGGCAGAGCAGGAAAAGGACTAAGTAGTCACGCTGTCCTTTCCAGTCCCAGGGGAGCTAGCTCAGTGTCCAGACACACAGGTGAATATGTGACCAGCACAGCCTTTCAGTGGGCTAACTAGCCATCACGAATCACCCACTTTTAGCCGAGAAAAAAAGACTGTTGCCAGGGAACAGGAATAGCTTCTAAAGCCTGCCTTCATTCCTGCTGCCCCTCTTTCCCCAAATGTCTCAGCCCGCCCTGGGCCTGGAAGGCAATGCATGCCCACAGCGCTCTCTGCTGGGCAATATCAGAACAGCACTGGAGGGTCTGAGTGTCAAGGCATTTGTGCAAACAGCCCCTGGTTTCCTGCCCTGGGGAAGCCCCAGACGCTGCAGCCAGACAGGAACCCGGTCAGTGCCTGCAGGGTCCATATCTGCAGCCTGGAGATCTTGGAGCTTAGGGGTAGTGTAGGGAATAGTGAGTTCTGCTTGGGGGAGCTGAGGGAGCCATCCATCATAGACAACGTCCCTCCCCCCAGATATGATCGGGGTCTTAGGAGCTGGGGTAACAACATCCTGAGTCCCCAGGCCCCCACCCCCAGGCTAGGAGAGGGTGCCTCCCAGCAGAGTACCGGTGTCTCATTATATCATGGAAGACATTTCCCTTTCTTCCTCCACCCCTGGACCTGGGGTGGCTGGACTTTGGGTGGGTGGTCTGGATGCTTCCAGGAAGGATTCATGGTTGGCAGATTCTAGGTCAGTGATGGCGAACCTTTTGAGCTCGGCGTGTCAGCATTTTGAAAAACCCTAACTTAACTCTGGTGCCGAGTCACATATAGAAATTTTTTGATATTTGCAGCCATAGTAAAACAAAGACTTATATTTTTGATATTTATTTTATATATTTAAATGCCATTTAACAAATAAAAATCAACCAAAAAAATGAGTTCGTGTCATAGGTTCGCCATCACTGTTCTAGGTGGTGCTCAGGTGGGGACGGGGACGAGGACAACTGCTGCTGGGTGGCAGACCCAGAGAGCCACAGAGCGAGGCTGGACTCAGCCCCCATTTCAGACCAGAGCAAAGATTACTTGAGCCAAGGGAGCCCAGGCTTCCCCGGGGGCCAGCCATGACTGGAGCAGACTGACCACCATAGGACAGAGGTGCAGGAGACCCAGAGACCCAGACCACCGGGGTCACTTCATTCGCTCCTTCTAGAATTTCCAGTGCGGAGTCCCTGCTTTTCTGAGCATGTTTTGCATGGTGTGAAGGTCTAGGAGACCCTTATTGCCATCCCAGCAGGACACACACACACACACACACAAACACACACACACGCACACGGCGTGTACAGGATGCACAATGGGAGAAGAGAACAAAGAAACGAGTTTCTTACAAAAGTGGAGGTCGTACCAGCTCCTGTACGTCAGTGAGGTGTTGAAAGGACTTCAGGTCCTCCAGCAGCCCAGAGCTGAGGGGCGGGGCGGGGGTCAGAGAAAGGACTTGTCCATCTCAGTGAAAGCCATCTCGCGGCGAAGATCACCCACGAGGGCCACGCCTGCGCACAGTATCTCACTGTGACCTTTTAGCCTCAGCCCCCTGGGTCCCCGAATGATTCTTCTCCGGGCTGGTAGCACATCCAGGCAATGTTTTGGGCCTGTGGGGAATTCCTATCTCCCTCATTGTTCGCCCTGAAGGCTGCAAAGTGAGGGTTGATTTTGAGGAAACAAGGTGAGCTGCCGAAGGATTTCCAGATGAGCCTCGTGTTTGATTTTGAGATCAGCGTGTGTGGGAGGCAAACTGGTGACTGGGGATGATTTGCACATAAGCATACTTTGTGATCACTAATTGCTTCTGAGAAACATCCCAACTGTGGGAAGCAGCTCCGCCAAGACACTGGAGCACGTGCTGCCAGGGCCCTGCAGCCCCCTCAGCTTATCTCCCCTCTGCGCGTGGGCTGGCCGCCGGCCAGGACCTGTGCGTCTCTGCCCGGGGCTTTCTCTAACCGCAGGGACCAGCTCGGCTGCTGCGCCGCCGGTGGCAGCCAGAGCGCCCCGGAATGAATGGCCTGGGTGAGCCTCACCCAGTGACTGGGTGGAATGGGTAGTCCCCACCCCCATTCCTTCCCAGGGAGTTCCCCAGGGATGGAGGTGCACACCCATGGGAGTGACCTGCTAGTGACACGCCCTTTATCGGTGTCGCTCCTGTCGCTGTTCCACGGCCTCACTTGCCTTGGAGTGTTTCCTGGGGTCACACAACACACCATCTGCACCGAATCCTTATCGCGGGCTCTGCTTCTGGGGGAACCACTGTGACCAACTTGTCCCGATTTCCCCCGGATCACCCCAGTTTTAGAACTGGAAGGTCCCACATCCTGGGACCTCCCTACCTCAGTCCCTGGGGAAATCCAGACCAAGTCAGGTGTGACCCCATGGGCGAGCCGATGGCTGGACCCCTCGTCTAAAGCCAAGTCTGAGCTCTGAGAACAGAAGAGCAGACACATGTGTAATTTTGTCACATCATCACGTTCAACGGTTTTTATGAGCTAAAAGCCTATACGAGAACAGTAGCCACCACTTACAAATAAGCCATTCCTCTGAGCACACACACACTCACGCGGCCCGGGGTAGGATTTGCCAGTTATCGGTGGACATTAGCTGACTGATGTCCAGGCCTTCCACGATGCCCACCTAACTGGCTACCGGGCAGGAAGGCGAGGTGTATTCCAAGACCAAGTGTCACAGGCTCCAGGGGGACATTACAGGGGAGCAGGCAAGGGGGCGGGGAGCACATTGTAGGCACTTGAGGCTCCGAGGGGGACAAGCACCGGCCATGCCACTTGAGCCAAAGCCACCTGGGCAAATAGAGAAACTGCACTGCGTGTGTCACCACAGGCGACCACATGGAGACAGGCGCTTTGCCTTGGGAAGCGGCGAGAAGCTCACGACGGCCGGTTCCAGCCGAGGAGGTTTGCAGCATGAACAGGGGAAAGCCGGCTTCGTAGGTGACCCGGGAGATGGCGCTGCTCCGAGGCTCAGGTCACCAGGCTGGGGCCGGCCGAGTGCGGGGTTCAGGGAGCCCCATAGTAGGGGCCAAGGCCTGGCCAGGAGACGCTGCTGAGCTCCCGACCTCAGGGGAGACCTCAGCCGAGCAGATCACCCAGCTGCAAAGGGCTGCCCACGCCCCTGCCCCTCTGGTTTTTACACGGCGGGCGCTGCGGAGCGTGCTGCAGCCCCGGAATGCGCCCATTCTTTTTTTGTTGATTTCTCTAGGCCCTGCTAGAGAAGTGGGGAACAAGATCTCCCAGATGCCATGGCAATGAACACACAGCCCATTCCCCGGGTAGCACTGCCCTTCTCTTCCCTTCCCAGGGCTCTCAGGTTGTGGGATGCATTTGGGTCTGGGGGCCACTCGGAGACGGTCCAATATGCTGTAGTGAGAGGCGGCATTTGGGCTCGGCAATGGGGGGTGCTGGAGTGTCCCACAGGTTCCAGGCAGGGGCACAGGGCGGCCCGTCGCCAGGGGTGTTCCTCTGCACCTTTGGGTGTTGGGCGGGAGAGCCAGGGAGTGCGGAGGTCAGCAACTTGCTTGTGCATCAAAGTTGTCCAGCCCTCCAGCCACTGCTACCACTGAGGATGCTCCCTGTGAAGGGGGGTGGTGTGCCCTCGGCCTTGCGGGGTTTCTCGGTTACCCCTTCCAGGTGTCTCATTCCACACTGGGCAGGTGCCGGGCCATCCTGAGCCCCCAGTCATGGTCCACACTGAGCCGGGACACCAGGATCAGGTTAACTGGGAGGCTGGACAGCCTGGTCCAACCTGGTCGTGTTAGAGGGGGAAAGAGGCCCAGAAAGCAGATGTGACTTGTTCAAGGTCACCCAGGCAATTAGAGCAAGTCCATGGTCACGAAGAGGAAAAGAGCTCAGAGGCTGGGAATCGGGGAAAGTCAGAGTAGGGGGAAGCCCCAGCTCCAGGACACCCAGAGAGGAGGTGCCACTTGCCTGAACTAGTGCCAGGTGTGTGAACCATCGGCCTGACAAGCTTCCCATTAACGAATGCCACGCCCCTCCCTCCTTACTCTGGGGCTGGGGCTGCTGCTGCACAGCTGCAGTGTGTTATTTTGGTGGTGGGAGTGGGGGGAGAAGGTGGGGAGGGAGATGACAATGCTGTCCTCACACCTGCTCAAGGCCTTGAGCAAGACAGCCTGTAGCCCTTATCCCTCTGGGGGGTGCTGACATTGAGCCAACATCCCCTTCTGGCCTCGTGTCCCGCCTGGGGTGGTGGGAGCCACTGGGTTAGTGACTGCCCAGAGGGTGAGAACAGAACAGTGAGCCAAGCAGCTGGCGGGATTTATATGAAGGAAGTCTCCAGCCCCATCCCCTCCCTTGGGGATGGATCCAGCTTTATGTGAGGGCCTCGAGGGGCTGGTGCAGAGAGGTGCCTGGGAGAGTTTGCAGCTCAGCAGGTGGTCAGGGAGGGCTCTTGGGGGGGGGGGTTTGCGTGGTACCACTTCCTGTTGGGGCTGACTTTTCTCCAGCCTGGTGGGTGTTGGGCTGGACCCCTCCGCTCCCTCAGCTCCGGCTGAAGACGGGGCATTTCTGAGTCTTCCTGAGGCTGAGACTGCGCCAGAGTCCACGTGCTCCACAGGTCTGCATGGGGCCCTCCAGATCTCTGGAAGTGGGAAGCTTGTGCCAGGGCTGTGGGGCCTGATGGGGCCACTCGATGAGGCGAGATTAAGGCCTTGGGGAGGGGTGTGAGCTCGGGGTGTGCGGACTCAGCCCGGGGCCCCAAGCTGGTGGGCTTCCTTGGTGAAGTCCAGACCTGCCTCCAGGGGGATCTGTGGGGCAGAGATCACTGGGCAGCAGCCAGGAGGGAATCTGAGGCTGCAGTGCGGATGTTACCACATGGCACCACCAGGTGGGCCTGGGAGCAAGTCCCCAGGGCCTCTCTGCCTTGAAGCCTCAAGAGTCTTCCATGTCATTGAGTAGATCATGTCTCCTGACTGGAGCTGCTGCCCCAAATGCACTGCAGCCAAGCACGGTTCCCTGTTGCAAAGAAGGCCGCGTCCCGCACAGTGTGACACGGCTGGATGGCGCCCCCCGTCCCAGAATGCAGCTGACACAGGGTGCCTCTCTGCCCCTCAGCCCGAGTGGGTAGAGTTTGCATTACGTCCTTCCCGAAAGTGTGTAAATTACTTAAGCTGCTGTCTGGTCTCTCCACTGACTTCTGTGACTCCATCTATTCTTTTGGGACTGTGTTTGCACGGACAGCCATTCAATTCTAACACCCCGCTTGCAGGGTGTCTCCCCCTGTCCTGCTCACCTGCTCTTCTTAGCCAGGAACTCACACATCCACACTAAATACACGAAGGGCTTCCAGGCCGGAGGAAAAGGCCCCGGTGATCCTTCTACCCAGTGTTGGGGAGGATGGTTCTCCAGTGGGTTTGTAAGCGTGACTTAGGGGTCCTGGGCTGTCACCATGGAGACGAGTGCCTAGCCCACAATGCAGCAGGCCGAGGTGGTCTCTCCGGCCTGGCTACAAGCTTGTAAATCTGGTGACTTGCAGTTTTGGGGTTTGCTCCTTCACCCTTTTATTTGAGGGGACACTGACCACGTGCTCCTCCTCCTGGGGGATCCCAGGTTTAAGTTGTGCTCCCTCTCTACCCCCAGTGGCTGTCACCCCCACAGCAGCCCACAGTCCAGGCAGAAAGGAACCTTTGACCCTTCTAGATCTCTAGTCCAACCTCACCTCACCCACTGATCTTACGGGGGTCGGGGAGTGGGGAGGAGAAGGGGGAAAACTGAGGCCCAGACAGGGGGCACGGTCTGGCCTTCCGGTGCACAGCTGGTGGTAGCAAAGTTGGGATGGAATTCAGGCCTCCTGACCGCTAGTCCAGGGCTCTTTCTAGCAACCAATATATTATAGCGTCCAAAGCTCCCCCCCCAGGCCCACAGGTCCCCGCCCGCCTCCCCTGCCCCAACCCCCTACACATAATTCGGGTTATAGCAGAGCATATTGAACTCCAGGCTCTCGTCCCAGTGCCGCAGGAGCACGAACAGCTGCAGGGCGGCGGCCTTGAGCGTGCCTCGCGTGCGGCCCTCCGGCACCTCCTGCTGCTCCAGCCATGCGCTGGCCTTGGCGGCCACCAGCTCCCACTCAACAAAGTAGGACGCCGAGCTGTGCTCCAGCCACGCCAGGGCCACCACTGTGGCCCACAGCTTCCCTGTGTGTTCTGTCACCGCGCTGAGCTCCCAGCTCGCCTTGTCCCCTGCCAGAGGCTCCTCGGAGAAGGTGTCACAAGAGGGGTGCCGAGACGAGGGGCTGGTCTTAGACGCGGGCTGGCGGGCTGTGAGGGACACTCGGTGGCAGGTGAAGGGCGAGGTCCACTTGAGCTTGTCCATAGGGATGTGGATGGCCTCGCAGAAGGCCTGGTTCATCAGGAAGGCTCCGGAGGCCAGCTGCAGAGACACCTGTGGGTGCGGGAGCCCCTCAGTGGGCCTCCAACTTTGTAGGCGGTGGAGCCCCAGGCCATGCAAAAGTCTGGGTCCACACAGCCCACCATTCATCTTCCTGGGGGGTCTGTGGGGCACCCAGGCCCACTGAGCCGCTCCCTCCTTTATCCCACAGGCACTCCAAACTGATCACTCTGCAAGCCCAACGCGTCCCGCACAGTGTGACACGGCTGGACGGCGCCCCCCCCCCGTCCCAGAATGCAGCTGACACAGGGTGCCTCTCCGTCCCGCACAGTGTGACACGGCTGGATGGCGCCCCCCGTCCCAGAATGCAGCTGACACAGGGTGCCTCTCTGCCCCTCAGCCCGAGTGGGTAGAGTTTGCATTACGTCCTTCCCGAAAGTGTGTAAATTACTTAAGCTGCTGTCTGGTCTCTCCACTGACTTCTGTGACTCCATCTATTCTTTTGGGACTGTGTTTGCACGGACAGCCATTCAATTCTAACACCCCGCTTGCAGGGTGTCTCCCCCTGTCCTGCTCACCTGCTCTTCTTAGCCAGGAACTCACACATCCACACTAAATACACGAAGGGCTTCCAGGCCGGAGGAAAAGGCCCCGGTGATCCTTCTACCCAGTGTTGGGGAGGATGGTTCTCCAGTGGGTTTGTAAGCGTGACTTAGGGGTCCTGGGCTGTCACCATGGAGACGAGTGCCTAGCCCACAATGCAGCAGGCCGAGGTGGTCTCTCCGGCCTGGCTACAAGCTTGTAAATCTGGTGACTTGCAGTTTTGGGGTTTGCTCCTTCACCCTTTTATTTGAGGGGACACTGACCACGTGCTCCTCCTCCTGGGGGATCCCAGGTTTAAGTTGTGCTCCCTCTCTACCCCCAGTGGCTGTCACCCCCACAGCAGCCCACAGTCCAGGCAGAAAGGAACCTTTGACCCTTCTAGATCTCTAGTCCAACCTCACCTCACCCACTGATCTTACGGGGGTCGGGGAGTGGGGAGGAGAAGGGGGAAAACTGAGGCCCAGACAGGGGGCACGGTCTGGCCTTCCGGTGCACAGCTGGTGGTAGCAAAGTTGGGATGGAATTCAGGCCTCCTGACCGCTAGTCCAGGGCTCTTTCTAGCAACCAATATATTATAGCGTCCAAAGCTCCCCCCCCAGGCCCACAGGTCCCCGCCCGCCTCCCCTGCCCCAACCCCCTACACATAATTCGGGTTATAGCAGAGCATATTGAACTCCAGGCTCTCGTCCCAGTGCCGCAGGAGCACGAACAGCTGCAGGGCGGCGGCCTTGAGCGTGCCTCGCGTGCGGCCCTCCGGCACCTCCTGCTGCTCCAGCCATGCGCTGGCCTTGGCGGCCACCAGCTCCCACTCAACAAAGTAGGACGCCGAGCTGTGCTCCAGCCACGCCAGGGCCACCACTGTGGCCCACAGCTTCCCTGTGTGTTCTGTCACCGCGCTGAGCTCCCAGCTCGCCTTGTCCCCTGCCAGAGGCTCCTCGGAGAAGGTGTCACAAGAGGGGTGCCGAGACGAGGGGCTGGTCTTAGACGCGGGCTGGCGGGCTGTGAGGGACACTCGGTGGCAGGTGAAGGGCGAGGTCCACTTGAGCTTGTCCATAGGGATGTGGATGGCCTCGCAGAAGGCCTGGTTCATCAGGAAGGCTCCGGAGGCCAGCTGCAGAGACACCTGTGGGTGCGGGAGCCCCTCAGTGGGCCTCCAACTTTGTAGGCGGTGGAGCCCCAGGCCATGCAAAAGTCTGGGTCCACACAGCCCACCATTCATCTTCCTGGGGGGTCTGTGGGGCACCCAGGCCCACTGAGCCGCTCCCTCCTTTATCCCACAGGCACTCCAAACTGATCACTCTGCAAGCCCAACGCAACGCCTTCACTCCTAACCTGCCTCTTGTTCTGGGCAGGTGGCCCATCCCCGCCACTGAGACCGTCCTCGGCCATCAAGCCGGCTCTGGGCAGCTCACCGCCCTCTCCCACCCTCCGAGCCAATCAGTTTCCAAGTGCCAACAGATCTGCTTTCTAAACATCTCTGGAGTCCACCATCCACCTCCCCGCATTGTCCCTGCCTCTACCTCCTTCCTTCGCCCCCACCCCCTCATCTTCCCAGCACCCCAAGGGTCTGTAAGGCACAGATCATGTCACTCTCTGACGTCAGTTCAGTGGCGTCAGTTTTCTCTTAGAATAAGTCCCAACCATGATTTCCAAATCGCTGGTTCGTCCTCAACTTTTCCTCCTCAAGCCCCATTCCCCAGCCGCCGCTCTCTCTCCTCTCTAGGCTGCCAGCTATCACTCCTCAGCCTTCAGGTCTCAGCTTGACCTTTATGCTCCTCAGTAAGCCATGCGTCATTCCTCCCCGACCGACCAACCGACCGACCGACCGCCTGGAGAAGGTGCCCCACCCACCCAGCTCTGCCCCACCAACCCGAGCTCTCCTATCACAGCGGCCAAGGAGCAGAATTGCCTGGCTCCTTGTCTCTGTCCCCACTACAGTGCCATGAGCTCAGGGACTCTGCTCATCTGGTTCAAGGTTGTCTCCCAGGGCCTGGCACTGGGCCTGGCTCAACGGGTCCTTGTTGAGTGAACCCCCGCACAGCGCTCTGCCGCCCCGATGGCTGGAAAGGCTCCGTGTCGGTGTGCAGGGACTGGAGCTGCGCAGTGAAACTCCAACCATGTCCTTCCTGCCGGCACCTCTGCTCCCCATGACCCCTGGCCCGGAGGTGGCAGGCCACGCTCCCTGGCTCCTCAATTCAGAGATGTCCACGCCACACCTGGGCTTCCCACGCTGCCACAGCATGCTGGGGCGTCTGCAGAGCCGCTTCCCAAACACAGTGCATGCCCGTGGGGTGTGAATTTTACTCACCTGAGCGTCATTTCAAGGCTTATTGTTATGCATTGAAAATCAGACACATGTAGATGGTGGGGTAGAATGTGAAATTCCCGTGAATTTTTAAAAAGGCAGCCGATTGCCAAGATGCTGCTGCCGCTAGCTTTTAGCAACATTCCTAGACCCTGGGTGGGGGTCTCGTGCAGACCCCTCTGCCCTGCTGACTACGTGGGTGCGAGGCCTAGGTTTTCCTCCCTTGTTGGGGGGGGCTGGAAGGGGGCTCCTGGGAAGGCCCCTCTGTGGAGCAGCCGGCGCCTGGGGCACTCACCAGTGGGACGTAGTCGAAGCTCTGGCTCCCTGGCGTTGGCTCTGGAGTCTTGGTCAGCGGCTTGCCCAGGAAGCCCCTGGCTGCTTGCGTCAGCAGCCTGGACTTTTTGAGAGTCAGCCTGTGTGGGTGGAGCAGGGAAGAGCGGCCACAGCCACCCCGGTGGTGTCCCTGGTCATCCCACCCCCCGGTGCTCACTCAGCAGCCTCTGAAAGTCAGGCCAGAAGGGATCGGATAGGTGGCTTCCTCCAATCTCCTCATTTGACAGCTGGGGAAACTGAGGCCTGGCGGGGTGTGCATTTTCCCTGAGGCCCTCAGTGAGTTAGTAGCAACCTGGACGGGGACCAGGCTATTCTTTTTCAGGACGGTCTTTTAGCCCAGCGGTCAGCGTGTCTCAGGCTGGCCCTCCCAGGGGGTCGCATTTGCAAAGAGACCGCACTGTGGGAGATGAACCACCGAGGTGGGATTTCTGCAGTGGGATGCCTGGAGGGCAGTGATATCTCTGGATGGGGCCTTCTTGGCACGGTTTGGATTGTTCGTTTTTGTCTGAATGTCAGGCTGGGCCTGCCTGTGGCCTTCCAAGCCAGGGACAGCCCCTGGGAGACGGGTGGTGGTAAAGTGTCCCCCAAGGGAAAGCCCACGTACCTGGTTCCAAACAGGGTCTCAGAGGTCTTCAAGGAAGAAGGGGTGTTGGTGGCCAGGTCGAGCTGGGGACCTGGAGAGCCACACAGTGACAGTTGTTGCCTGACAGAGGACCCTGTCCAACCGCTCACTGCCCAGCTGGGGAAATGGAGGCCCAGAGAGGGGCAGGGGCTTGCCTGGTCCCTAGGGATCTAGGGGAACGTTAGGCTGCTTTCTGTTTATGACCCAGTTGGTATGGGGAGGAGTGAAATATATCGGCCCACGTGTAAGAAACAGGCCTCCAAGTGTCCTTGGCTGGTGGTCCCTGGCATCTTCTGGAAGGTTCCCTGTTGGGGCAGTGACAGCCTCATATTAAACCCTCTTGTCCCCGGATGGGGACATTGATTTTCCTTCCCTGGCACATTGCTAGAGGAATCTAGGCAGAGTGCGGTGGTGGAACGGTCAGCTAGAAACTGGGAGGCCGGATTCCAGGCCTGGCTTCATCACGGACTTGCTGTGTGACCTTGGGCAAGTCACTTTACTTCCCTGCGTCTCAGTTTCCTAGCCTTTAAGTTGGGGATATTCTATTTATCTCACACAGGGTTGCTTTGAGGAATAAGTGAGCCACTGAGGAATATGTTGGGCTAAGACACTCTCTTGACCCGAGGATCAACCACGATCACATCTACATTAAGGGGAGAGCCGGGTGTTGGTCCACATACCCTCAGAAGCAGCATACTTCTCCCCGCCCGGGGATGTGGCATTGCCGGAGGGCACAGCGGGGTTTTCCTCCACATCTGCAACAGAGGGAAGCCAGTGAGGCCTGCGCCCCCTGGCTCTCCCTTTCTCCTCTCTATTTATCTCGCACAGGGTTGCTTTGAGGAATAAATGAGCCACTGAGGACTATGTTGGGCTAAGACACTCTCTTGGCCCGAGGATCAACCATGATCACTATCTTCATCAAGGGGAGAGCTGGGTGATGGTCCACATACCCTCAGAAGCAGCGTACTTCTCCCCGCCCGGGGATGTGGCATTGCCGGAGGGCACAGTGGGGTTTTCCTCCACATCTGCAACAGAGGGAAGCCAGTGAGGCCTGCGTCCCCTGGCTCTCCTTTTCTCCTCTCCCACCCCTGCCAGGAGAGTGATGGCTGAATTCACAGAACCTGGGGGTGGGCTGGAGAGCAAGGTAAGTGTTCCATCCCTAGTTGGATGGGCCTTTGTCTTCAAGGTACCACCATTGCTCTGCCATAAGAGTCAGAATGCCTGGGTCCCGATCCCAACTCCCCCATGGACTAACTGTGTGACCCTGGCAAAGGGACTTCCTTCATAAGTTTTGATTGCAAATTAGGGATAACAGTATCGGTCCCACAGTATTAGAAGGATTCAGTGAGATACTTGGCTTATAGTAAGTGCTCAATGAAATCCTGAGCTACAGACCCATCAGGGAAGCAGGAGCAGGTCAGGGGCTGAGGGTGGGAGTTGGGGGTTGGGGAGAAGTGGGCATGAAGCACCAGGTCTATGTCTCATGGAGGAGGGTTTCATGCCAGCACTCTAGGAGGCACCAGAACATGGCTCTGAGCCTCAGTTTCCTCATCTGTAAAATGGGGTGATAATTACACAGAGTTTGTTCAAAATGTGTAATCAGGGTAGTTATTCTTAGGATCATTATTTCAAGAGATGGAGAGTGATGGGCAATCTATACTAATAAAAGGGTAATATACTAATTAGACCGGATAGACCGGACGTCTTCTGGATGTCCTTCCGGACAAAGCCGCGGCGGCTGCGAGGGCCGAGAGCAGGCGGCTGGCAGAGGCAGCAGCAGCGGGGTGGTGGGGGCAGCGCCTTCCCCTGATCGACCCGGTTGCTTCCTGCAGAGGTAGGACATCCCCTGAGGGCTCCTGGACTGTGAGAGGGGGCAGGCCGGGCTGAGGGACCCCCCCACCCCAGTGCACAAATTTTCGTGCACCAGGCCTCTAGTATACTATAAAAGAATAAACCAAATTATGGAAAAAGCTTCATGCACAATTATGTTCATCAGAGCCTCTGGTCCCCTATGAGATTGTCAGGAGCTCCATGAGGGCCAAGGAGCTCTGGTTATCACTAGGTGCTCGGGTGGAGTGGGGCAGTGTGGGAGTGAACTAGTGACTGAGGCAACCAGGAGGCAAATTAACCTGGTGGTTAAACTCCTGGGTTCTGGGGCCAGACAATGCCTGAGTTTAAGTCTTGGCTCTACCTTATATCAGCTGTGTGATCTTGAGTAAGTCACTTAACCTCTCTGAGCCTCAGTTTTCTCATCTCTTAATGGGGACAATAAAATAAACCAAATCAGATGATTATGAGGAGCCATGGATAATTGGGACAGTGCCCAGCACACAGGAAACTCTCAGTACGTGTTAGCGATTATCACCCTTGGGGAGGGCAAGTGCTTGGGATAGAGGAACAGCTTAGATATAATAGACACTTGGGTCTGAATCAGAGGACAATTGAAAAGAAGGGATTTTCGCCCAGCCGGCGTGGCCCAGTGGTTGAACATTGACCTATGTACCAGGAGGTCACACTTCGATTCCAGGTCAGGGCACATGCCTGGGTTATGGGCTCGATCCCCACTGCGGGGTGTGCAGGAGGCAGCCGATTGATGATTCTCTCAAGTCATCATTGATGTTTCTATCTCTCTCTGCCTCTCCCTTCCTCTCTGAAATCAATAAAAAAAAATGTTAAAAAACAGAAGGGATTTGTGATTTTGATGGAAGTCATGGGCCACCGCTATGGAGAAAGGAAGACATTTCCTCTAGACTTGAGGCTCAGCATGGCTCAGGGGAAGAGCAGGTTCCCAATTTTGGAGGCTCTGATGGAACCAAAGAGTTGGCACAACTCTTTAATTCTAAAGAGCTCCTCCACCAGCTTACCCACTGTTCCCTTTTAACCCATCAATGTCCGTAAGAACTTTCTAACCCTCAGGTTAAATTAAATTATGATCTGGGCGTCCTGGCTTGTGGCCAGGTGGGCCCTCCAGTGTCCTCCCTGTGCACAGAGCAGATCTTCACTGCACACCCGGGGGCGTGAAGAAAGGGGTTAGGACTGGTGCAGCTGTTAGGATGTCTTTAGAGCAGCGGTTCTCAACCTGTGGGTCGCGACCCCTTTGGTGGTCGAACGACCCTTTCACAGGGGTCGCCTAAGACCATCCTGCATATCAGATATTTACATGATGATTCATAACAGTAGCAACATTACAGTTATGAAGTAGCAACGAAAATAATTTTATGGTTGAGTCACAACATGAGGAACTGTATTTAAAGGGCCAGAAGGTTGAGAACCACTGCTTTAGAGGGACAGAAAGACATGCAGACATTCAGGACACAGAGAGTTGAAGCCTCCTGCGAATAGTGTAAAGTCACAAAAAGGCCAAACCACGGATCTTCAAGGACCAAGCTGCAGGCACAACGCAATCAGGTGAAGGCGGGAAGGAACGAGGCAGATGGCAGGACCCAAACGATGGACCTGCCTTGTTGCTCTCCACTTTCCCCTATTTATCAGGTTTTCTGGCATTGGACGCCTGGGAGGACTCAGAGGTTGGAGGCAGGGAATAGCCACCGGGGTTGGCGGACCTTCAGAGGGGAGAGGTGAAGGGATGGTGTGGGCACGCGGGCAGGGAGGCCAGGCTGCTCCTGGCTCCGAGAGGCTCTCTCAGCAACGCTGTGTTAAGGCAGCATGCTTGGGCCATGCTGCACCCCGCTGCCCATCTCAGGCCTCAGAGAGCCGGGGAGGCCTGGCCTCACCCTGGTCCTGCAAGGGCCCAAAGTGCAGACTCAGAGTGAGGCCTCCAGGGTCTTGGGCACGAGGATGCCATGACTCAGGAGCTCAGGATCCAGTACCCGCCCCAGGTGGTTCTTACTTAGGTTCTGAAATCTGCCAGGTCCTGCTGCCGAGTCTTCCGTGAACACGGACTGGGACCGACTGAAGCCAGCAGAGCTGCCCCTCCACTGTTGGTTCAGGGCCCGAGAGCTGGCCATCCGCAGTGCAGCACCTTCGTGAGGACAGGAGAAGGGGTCAGGTGGGTGCAACTGTGCCAGTCCTTTGCCTCCTTCCCAAGCTGGCAGGAAGGATTCTGGCTTCAGCCTGTCAATTATCCAAAGACAGGGAGGCATTGTACAAGGTGAGACCATGAGCTTTGGAGCCAGAATGACCTGGGTTTGAACCCCAGCCCATCTTTTAGTAGCTGGATGGGGTGCTAACCACTCTCAACCTCAATGTCCAGATCTGGAAAATGGGGATAATACCGACTTTGCTAGGTAAATACTGCTGCCGAGAGAGAATGTTCAGGAAGCAGCAGTGTTTTCTAGTTAGTCTAAAGGCTGGTTTTCTCACGAACACTCCATTTCCTTTCATTCCCCGTTGGCTGTCTCAAAGGCCCAGGTCCCATGCCCCCTGCCACAGGCAGATCCCTGCAGTCCCAGGGCATCACCAATGGGGGATGGATGGAAGAGAGAGGAAGCTACAGCACCCAAGTGTTGTTGTGGCCAAAGGTAAACTGAGTGGGGCAGGGGGCGTGAAAGGATTAAGGAAAAGACAGACAAGAGAATAATAGCTGGGTCTCGGTGGGACGCTGCCTCTCTAATGAGGAGACAACGCCAGCGCCCACAAGCCGTCTTTATTTTATAGCAGATGTCATGAGGCAAAGCAGGGGCGTGATCACGTTGTTTACAGCATTCTCGTGAGTTCCAACTCTACTCAACTACATGCATCTGAACTCTAGCACAAGGCACGTGGGGCTACGTGTTTGGACCATAGGTTCAAGCTTACAACCACAGCCGTTGGCTATAATTGTGCTGGGTGGGCCCTGCCCTCCAGCTGGGACTTGCACGTGGCAATGAGAGGACCCTGTCCTTTCATTAGTCCGAGGTTTGAACCTGGCCAAAACACCGTACCCGCGCCCCACAAAGTGTGTTTTGGGGAACCCACTCTATGAGAACACTAGTCTGTAAGTTATTCTTTAAAAAAAAAAGAAGAGTTCTATTGGGCAATAAATTTTGAAGAAGCTGCATACTATGGTCCATTCTCTGAGCCTCCTGATGTATATTAACATCCCAAAGGTTCCAAAGGCTCTGCTGTGAAGAAAGCTTTTGAGCTTTATTTAGTTCAGTGTTTCCTGAACTGGCATTTAGTTCAGTTTCTTCCTGATCTGATATTTCCTGTTAAACATTTTTTTTAAAAAAAATTGATTTATAGAGAGAGAGGAAGGCAGAGGGAGAAAGAGAGTGAAACATCAATGTGAGAGCAAAACCCTACTGGGGATGGAGCCCACAACCTGGGCATGTGTCCTGATTGGTGCATGGGATAATGTCCAACCCACTGAGACACACTGGCCAGGGCTGGGATTTCCTATTTTTGTGCTGAATGACCATTGATGGGATGGAGAACTAGGCTTCTAGTTTCCTGGATCACACTTTGGGAAGTGCTGAGCAGACCTTTGGGGATGGCGGGATGGTCTCCATACCTCCCAGACTGTGGCTACAGAGGCCAGGAGGATGGTCAGAGACGGGTGGGAGGGACAGACATCCTGAATAAGCATGTCACTCAGGATGACAAGGCTCAGTGAATAAGCATGGCCAGTGGAGCAACAGCCTGGCTGCTGGCCAGAGCCCGAACTGAGAACAGTGGTGACTATAAACAAAAGGGGTGCAGGGCACAGGAGGAAGGAGGAAAGGCACATTCTGTTTCCAAACACAATTCTTTCAGGAGGCCTGCTAAAAAAGACACTACAAAGAACAGGAAAAAGTAATTCAGGAGATGAAAAGAACAAGTAGTTCACAAACAGGTGAACAGCATCTCACCCAAAAACTAAAAACTAAAGAAATCCCCCAGAGAGAGTCTTTCCTCACTATCAGACTGGCAGGGTTTAGAAAGATGAACAACAGTCAGTGTTGGCGAGGGTGGGCATCGGAATAACTCTTGGGCCTTGGCCAGTTTGGTAACATCCAGCACAGTTTTAAACGGGCAATCTTGATACGCAATCTGACTTCTGAGAGTTCATTAACCCTGAGCAGATAACCAGACAGGTGCACAAAGATGTTCTTTGCAGCATCATTTATAATAGTCGAAAAGGAAATAAACTGAAGGTCTAATAATGAGGGGCTGATTCAGTAGGTTCTGAGAAACCTTAAGAGGCAGTTGGAGAGGAGCGGGGTGAGCAGAGACTCTGGAGCCAGATCCCCGGGGTTCAAAGCCTGTCTCTGCCTCTTCCTGCTGTGTGACCCTTAACCCCCTCTGCCTCTGTTTTCCCACCTTTAAAATGGGGGTAATAGTATCTGCCTTGCAGAGTTGTTCTGAGGACTAAATGATTATATATATATCTCCATCCATCTCATATCCATATATCTATTCCATCCCTGTCAAATTGACTATTACGATTAGTATTTTTCCGCATCAGGAAACACCGCAGCTGTTAAAATGATGGTAGAGATTCACCTTCCCACCCATATTTCGTAAGGAACAGCACACATTGATATGATCCAATTCATGCAAAATTATGTTTTTTTGATTTCTCTGTGGAGATATCCATAGAGAGAAGTCCGGAAGGGTGGTCACCAAGGAGGTAATCAGTACTCATCTCTGGATGACTGTCACTTCTAGTCACTTCTATTTATTTTCTGTCTTTCTACATTTTGGAATTTTCTACAGTGAGCACATATCATTGCCCTCGTTGGAAAACTTCAGTGAAGTCATGCTTATTTGGTGGGAATAAGGGAGTGGGGTGGTTTCACAGGTTTCTGTGCCTCGTGGTGGCTACACCATCTGCTTTTGGGGTCTTTATGCTTCTAGACCAGTGATGGCGAACCTTTTGAGCTCGGCGTGTCAGCATTTTGAAAAACCCTAACTTAACTCTGGTGCCATGCCACATATAGAAATTTTTTGATATTTGCAACCATAGTAAAACAGAGATTTATATTTTTGATATTTATTTTATATATTTAAATGCCATTTAACAAAAAAAATCAACCAAAAAAATGAGTTCACGTGTCACCTCTGACACGCGTGTCATAGGTCCGCCATCACTGTTCTAGACCCTTCTGTGCACCCCACCCTGCAAGCTCTGCCCCTTAAGGTCCCAGCCACCTCCTCCAGCCCCCGGGGGCTGCCTGGCCACCCCCCTGCCTTACCGGAGCTGGGGTAGGCCACCACGGTGGGCAGGTACAGCCTCTGGCTCACGTCCACAGGCACGTAGGCGGTGTACTTGCTGATGATGTTGCAGGCCTTGCTGGTGTGCACGGCGTTCACCTGGTAGCGGCGGCTGGATCCTGCGGAGGAAGAAGCTGGGGTCACTGTGTGGACTCAGAACATTCTCTCCCACACGGAAGCTCCGGAAGCCAGAGGGAAGGCTAGACCAGTGGTCCCATCTTTAGGATGAAATAAGGCCTTCAAATCAAGGGGTTTCCAACTTGCCGATTAAGAACATACCCCCCCCTCCCCCCCGCAAGATTGTTATCCTCCACTATCACTTCATACAATAAGGATGTTTTCATGTAAAAGAGGTAAGACATCTAAGACTAAAAAAGGCAGTTACTGCCCTTAAATAACTAGTGTTATTAAAGACAATCAAAGCCATCTGTGTTGTCTGCATTTCCTATTTTCAGTTCGTAGCTGCCTAATGAGACTCTTGCTGCAGGACTTCATAGTATCCTGGCTGAGTGTGGGCCACTGGTCCGGCCCATTGGACAATTTTGCAGCTTGGAAACCAGAGAGGGAGAGCGGCAGGCACAGGGTCACACAGCGAGGTAGTCGTGGATTGAGATTGGGACTTAGTGGTGGTCTGTTCCCAAAGCCCCAGCTCTTTCCACGCAGCAAGTTAGCAGTCTCTGCGGCTTGCCACGTCCAAAAGGCTGTGTGAGGAGCCGAGGACATGCAGAGGGGACACGTTTTGTAAACTGCAAGGTGAAGTGCTCGTGGGGAAAAAATAACATATTATGTAATGTTAAAATAAAAACCAAACAGAGATCAGCCTTGAAAATTCCCTGAGCAGGCAAAACCAGTTTCATTAAACAAACAAAGTTTAATTTAGCTCATTTTGCAAGACGAACGTGACCGGGGTCATTTCTTGCTTCTGCCTCTGAGACTTGAACTGTTTCCCAAGGTTACTGTAAGGTAACTGCTGAAAATTCCAACTTTATAACCAATTGCCATGAAGAATTAACTGTCACTGCTTCCTCACTCTATAAGCTGCTTTATGATAATACTAGAGGCCCAGTGCACAAAATTTGTGCACAGGTAGGGTGCCTAGGCCTGGCCAGAGATCAGGGCCGATCTGTGGAGCTACCGGCAGGGCGATCAGGGGGCCCCCGCTGGCACCTGCATTGGCTGGCCTGGGGCCTGTGGGCTGGGGGCAGCTCCTGCATTGAGCGTCTGCCCCCTGGTGGTCAGTGCGCATCATCATGACTGGTTGTTCCACAGGTTGGTCCGCTATTCAGTTGATTTGCATATTAGGCTTTTATTATATAGGATACCCCTGAGCTTCATTCCATGTGTTGGTTTGGGTACTCTTGATTTGCAAACTGTCTTTTCGGTGTGTGTGCAATAAGTTTTTTCTAATGACGACTTTACAATACAAATAATATAAATATAAATCATATTATGTAAATAAAGCATAAACTATAACAAATAATGGAAATATTTTCTATTTCGATCTTTGTCTAGTCTTCAAGTGGACTCCATCAGGATCCCAGGACTCACTTTTTAAGAAAAGTTTGCACCAATTCCTGAGCTAAATGAGCTCCCCCACCACCCTTGTTATACAATCTTTTGTATCCCTATATTTCTTCTTAATAGCACCTAGGGCAAATGCGGGCAATTAATAAGTCTATACTTATTTGATTAATGCTGGCTCTCCTGCTAGTCTGTGTCAAGCACTGGTAAGGGCAGGGATGCTCTGGTCACTGTGCTCAGCCCCAAGGCTGCCCCCCCCCGAAGATCTGCGTTCAGTAAGTGGCCTTGATGAGTGAGTGGACCGAGCAGGTCTAGGACAGTGGTTCCCAATGTGGGGCACACCCCCCACAGAGGGGCAATTTGTTTTGTAAGGGGGGTAATTTGAGAATGAGTGATTAACAGTGAATTTTTTGCATTTCTTATGGTTCTAAGGGCCTCATATACAGTATATAAGAATATATTGTGACTTGTTTATGCATTTCAGTTCTCTATTATATGTTTTGAAACTTTATTCTATTTTTCATAGCACTTCATATTATTATTATTATTATTTTTTAACAATTTCTTAGTGGTTTCTTCCTCAGTACTTCAACTGTCCTTTCACATTCTTTTATTTTTCTCTTTCATGGATGCCATATTCTTTGGAAGCTTGTTTAGACCAAGTTAATGGCCTTTTAGGCTTCCTCCAGGCGAATAGGAGTTCACTTTTTGAATAATAAGAATTATATGTCATGGGGTGGGGGCATCAGGATTTTAGAGACGCTTAGGTGGGGCGTGGCCAGAAAAAGGTTGGGAACCGCTGTCTAGTGGGGTCTGTGGGAAGGTAGGTGCGGTCCCAGAGGAGCAGAGTGGGTGGAATGGGGCTGTCCCCATTGTTCTGTCTTAGAGGGCGCTGTGGGGAGAAGGTTGGGAAGTGAGGAGGGTGGAGGACCAGAAGCAGAGGGCACGGAGGAGGGAGAGGAGAGGACAGATCACCTGGTGAGGGTGGGAGGGCTGGAGGAGCCAAGGGCTGGTGGGAAGAGGCAAGGGGATGGGGCAGATACCGGAGGGGATGGAGCCCTGGGCTGCGTGTGTGTGTGTGTGTGTGTGTGTGTGTGTGTGTGTGTGTGTGTAGGCACCTGGAAGCAGCGATGCTTTGGGGAGTTGAGCACACTGGGCGGTTGGGCGGTCTCGGAGGGCAGGAGGCGGGCGCAGGCCCGGGGCGCTCACCTTGCTCTATCTCGCCCTCGCGCTCCGCCAGCTGCTCGAAGTCACGGATGATGGCGCGGGCCGCCAGGTGGTGGAAGGTCTCCTTCCAAAGGTCAGCGTCGTGCGCTCTGCTCCGCTCGTGGCCCGGGGGCTCCAGCTCGAAGCTCACCTCCCATTGTAAACGCTGGCTGTCGCGCAGGCCCTTGACCACGGCCTTGCCCAGCACGGGGTCTGGGGTGGCTTGCCTGCCGGTGCTGGCCTGCGGCTCCCAGGCCGGGGAGGTCTGGGTCTCCAAGGAGGAGGGTTGATGGACCGGCTCTGTGGGCGGAGGGACGAGAGGACAGTGCTCTGAACTGGGGGACAGAGGGCCAGCCCCGCAGGGGACAGCATCCGTTCCCAGGGCCCAAACACCCCTAAGCAAACACAGTACAGCACCCCAGCCGCACGCCCAGGGATCTCGAAACTCCTTTCTTAGAACAGGTGGGGTGGCATGGGCTGGTCCCACCTCCCAGGAAGCCAGGACCTGAGGGGTCCAGTAGGATGGGGTGGGGCACTCCTCGGGGAGAATGTGCCGCAGGGAGGACGCGCGGTAGGGGACAGGTAGCCCAAGGGCCAGGTTGATTGGGAAAAGAGGGGTTGGTGAGGTCCTCAGGGAGAGAAGGGGCCACAGCAGACTCCCCCCAACCCCCAAAGGGCACGGCATCTGTCCTCTGGGCCTGTCATCTGAAGTCAGGCCATCGCCAAGGAGTCCTCCCTGTTCCCAGTCAGGCCCTGGGCCCTGAGGACACTTACCCTGGTCCCCAGGGCTGAGGCTGTCTGAGGCAGGCTGCAGGCTGTACCCAAGATCCAGCTCCCTCATGGGGCTCCAGGCCTGGGGCTCCTGGTCAGAGGGCACGAAGGGCTGGCAGCCTTGGGGCAGCAGAGAGGGCCTGCGGGCCCCTGGGCCCCGGAGTTTGGGGCCCTGGCACAGGTCCCAGCCACTGTTCAGGAAGGGCTAGGAAGGCAAGAGGAAGGTGAGGAGGCTGGGCCGCTCCCCTCCACCCCAGCTCCGCCTGTAGCACCCAAGGACAAACCACTTACTCTCCACTACCCATGAGAAATGTCAACATGAATAATCCCAAACCATGGATGAAGTCCAAACCCCGGAAGACCATGGAAAATCACATACCGTAGATAATCTACACTCACTTATTTTTGCCACAAAGTTTAAAACGTTTGTGTGTGTTTAAAATTAACCCTTTCCTTAGGCCTTCTCATAGGTCATGCTTAAAAGGTCTTTCCTACTAAAAAAAAAAAAAATTCCTGTAGAATTTTTGTGATATTTGTTTGTTTGCTTAAATCTTTGATTCACATGAAATTTATTTTTCTTGTAAGGAAATAGGAACCAGCCTTTTCGTTGGTTTTTTTGAATCCTAGCACTGTTTATTGAATACTGTTCATTTATGGAGTCTCTAGGGCAGCGGTTCTCAACCTGTGGGTCGCGACCCAAAGGTCGAATGACCCTTTCACAGGGGTCACCTAAGACCATCGGAAAACACATATATAATTACATATTGTTTTTGTGAATAATCACTATGCTTTAATTATGTTCAATTTGTAACAATGAAATTGGGGGTCACCACAACATGAGGAACTATATTAAAGGGTCAAGGCATTAGGAAGGTTGAGACCCACTGCTCTAGGGTTTATGAGTTCCCCACCTCTATGCCAACAAAGCTCTCATGCACATTTGGTGTTATTTCTGGGCTTTCTGTTCTGTTTTGTGGACTTAATCTGTCTAAAAGAAAACATCAAAAGGCCAGGGGTAAACTGGGAAATATATTTGCAACATGCATGACAAAGCTCATTTTCAAGAAAATGCTCTTAGAAATCACTGGTGGGGGTGGAGACACACTCGATGAAATAATGGCTTAAGGGCCTTTACAGCCAGTTTACAGAAAAAGTATCCAATAAACCCATGAAAACATGCTCAGCTCTTGAGTGTTGCTCTAAATTAAAATGAATGACAGTCCTGGCCAGGTGGCTTCATTGGTTGGAGCATCATTCAAGGGTTCGCTTCCCAGTCAGGGCACATACCTAAGTTGTGGGTTTGATCTCCAGTTGGGGTGCATATGGGGGGTAACGGATCAATGTTTCTCTCTCACATTGATGTTTCTCTCCCTTCCTTTCTTAAATCAATAATAATATATCCTCGGGAGAGGATAAAAAAATAAAATGAAATGAATTATGATTTTTCCCATTTTCCAGACTAGAAAATATGTAAATGTCTGATGACACGCAATGTGGTCATGGGGAGACGGGGGTCCCCCATGGACTGTTGGTGGGAGTGCGCAGTGACGTGAACTTGTGGAGAACGATGCTAGCTGTCAACATTAACAAGGCCCACGGTCCCTGGACCCAGTGATTCCACCTTTAGGAATTGAATCCTGTGTAAATACGCAAGGTTGCAAATATCTATGTACATGTACTGTATCTTTGTTGCAGTATTATTTGTTAAAAAAAGATTTTGTGACTATCTGGAAACTATCTGAATGTACTTCATTAAGATTGGCAAATACTGGTAAGTTATGGTAGGTCCATTGTTGGAACACCACACAGCACTGCAATAAAACAGCCAGTTTCTTAAAAACTAATTTGGGAAGACGTCTAAGAGAAAACATTAAAACATTTGCAGCTCTTCTGTATTCTGATCGTGGAAATGGTTACATGACTATTCATTTGTCAGAACTCATGGGGCTAGTCACCAAAAGGAGTAATTTTACTGTATATAAAAAAGTGAATTAAGAAGATATTAGAAAAGCAATTTAGAAGGAAGTTTGTATATGTGATTATTTAAAACACGTACGTGTGTTGTGTATGTGTGTGTTTGCGTGTGTGTAGTATTTCTGGAAGGAAACACTCAAAACCAAGTAGGTCGGGGTACTTTTCTTTTTACTTTATACTCGACAGAACTGTTTGAGGGTGTGATTTTCACACTCTGAGTATGTTTGTAATTAAAGAATATTAAATTAATTAAAAATGAATTTGTGTCTCTGGCAACATTTGCATTGCCTGATAGGAGACAGGGCGCAAGGGCACTTAGTGGGTGTAACAGAGAGAAAAGGTGTTTCTCAGTCTTTTAGGCCAACAGCTAACTGGGTGGTCTTTCTCATCGCTACCAAGTATTTATTGGGAAGGGACTGTACTCCCCATTAGATGGGGGCTCCTGCTCCTTGGGGCAGGGGCTGAGGTGTTCCTTCCCGTCTCCTCTGGACCTGAGGTCCTGGGATGGTACCAGGGTGTGGGAGAAGACTGGGACTGGATGGCCTCAGTGGGAGCTGGTAACCCAGCCAGGCTGCTGCATCCCAGGGCGTCCCTAACCTCACCTCCCTCATCAGAGACTGGAATTCCTCTCACCTTTGCCCCACCATCACCACCGCACTGAGAAACAAGCCGCTACCGTCTCCATAGCAATAGACTAGTCTCAGGTTCAGCCCTTCACCCAGCCAGAGGTTGTAGGGCGTGTATACATGTGTGCACATGTTGTGTTGGGGAGAATCAGATTGGGGAAGAAGCCAAGCAGGGGATGGGGCAGAGATGAGCAAAGATGGCCAGAAGCAAGTAGGAGAGAAGAGAAGCCACACTGCTCAGAGCGCTCACTAACCAGACCTGCATTTAAAGGACACCTACTGTGTGCCAGGCACTGCATCCGGCACTTGATCTCTTATCACCCGATGCCTGCAAGAGTCCTCCACTTATAGTTGGCTCTCAGTACATGTCTGTGGATGCCTGTTAGCTCAACCACCCATGCAAACTATTCTCCCCATTTCACAGGCAAAGAAATTGGGGCTCAGAGAGGTTGAGTAACATGTTTGAGGAGCAGCGTCTGCCTAACTCCAAGGTCAGTGTCTTCCAACTGCATCCCCGGCTAAGGACAGAGAAGGACCTCAGGGACGAGGTGGCAGTGTCTCTGCCCCTGGGGAGCGTGGGGGCTGATGCGTCTGTGGAGGCGGGGATGGATGGAGGTTGTGGGTGGGCATGAGGAAGAAAAGGTTGCTTCTGTGGAACCACAGACTCACCCTGACGAAGCTACATCAAGCCCATTGGTTTAGGACAGTGTTTCTCAAACTGGTGATTTTGCCGCCCTCCCCCAGGGGCATTTGGCAATGTCTACAGACATCTTTAGTTGTCATCACTGGGGGTGGTGGTTTAACTGGCATTCATTTGACAGAGGCCAGGGATGCTGTAAAATTTCTATAATTTTTACACAAGAGCGCCCCACAACAAAGAATTATCATGTCCAAGGTGCTGAGGCCGAGAAACTGGTCTAGCTGGACAGGGGGCAACTGGCCCTGCTGTGGCTGTAGCGCTGAGATCACCCCTGCCCTGGGTGGATGTACCATCCTTGGTATCTGCAGGAGGTGCAGTGTGTGATGGAGAGGGAAGCAAGAGCTTTGCAGGAAGTGGGTCCCGGGTTTTAATCTTCAGACAAGCGGTGTGACCTTTACCTTTCATTTCCACACCCCCTCCTATCCCAGGGCTGCTATAAAATCAAATGAGAGAGCAGATGGGGAGGCTCCTTGACAACTGGGAAGTGCTGTGTGCAGAGAACTGTGCTGTCATTGGCCAATGAGTATCATTGTCAGGAAGGGGTCACTGAGGGTCAGGCAGATGAAGGAAGAGGTGACTCGCTTCTCAGTCAGTTGTGGACGGGCTCCATCCTTCCGGTTGAAGCAGGAGACACAGCTCACCCCCACCCATGACCTCCCCCAACTCCACCCTACCCCGCTCGGGTACCTGCAAATCAATCTGTCTCGGCTGGGCATCTGGGCTGGGCTGGTTGATGAGGTCCTGCAGCTTGGCTTTCCGCAGTGGGTATCTCCTGGCAGCCATCGTGGGGTCGCTGACCGTGGTGGCCCTCGGGGAGGGCTTGTGGTCGATGATCTGGTTGGTGCTATATGCCCGTCGTCGCTGGGAGAGGCCCACACCTGGACAGGGGTGGTGACAGGGGAGCCACCAGAGTGCAAGAAGAGGACAGCGGGCAAAGAGGGAGGGGCTTGCATACCCTTTCATGCTTGAAAACTTCTTGATCTTTCCACTGCTCACCTACTGACGTATGTTTGGGTGCCTCACCTCACCTGGCATTCAAAGCCTGGCCTAACCGGGCCCTAATCTATCACCCAGCGACTCTCCTTTCTGTTCCCTTTTCAAGGTTCCATGTGTCCAAGTATAGTAGCTGAGTAACCAACTGTGGATGTATTTTCTAGGTGTCACACCTTTGCTCAGGCAGTGTCTGCTGCCCAGAACCTCCTGTGGCCCATGTCACTCTGCTTCCTCTCAGAACTAAGTCCAATTGTATCCCTCTCACCAGATGGAGAGCTTCTGAGGACAGGTGCCACGTTCGAGTCATCTTTGCTGCTCACACTGTGCTCAGTACTTAGCCTGGGTAGGTGATCAGGAAACACCCTCCGAGTGGAAACTAAAACCATGAAGTGGCTCTGGAGGCAGACAGGTCTAGACTATCTGTACTCGACCTCTTTCAAGTTCCACGAGCTCAGCCAAGTGACTGAAGTTCCCTGTCTCAGTCTCCTCATCTGCAGAATAGGCGGTAGCCCCCTCTGCAGCTGCTAACTATTCAATGCGACTGTTTGTATAAAGTGCTTAGCACATAGTAAGTGCTCAGTAAAATGGAGCGATCATAGCTTCTGGAGAAGTGAGTGAAGCACAAAGGGTGGCAGATTTACCAGGACTGGTGGCGGGGTTGCCACTGGACGGCCGGGCATCTGTGGCCTGCCGCAGGTCGAGGGGTTCCCCCAAGCTATTGGGACAATTTGCATTGTCTGAGCCGGGCCCCTCATCCTGTGACTGGTAGAAGACAGAGCTGCTGGACTCCTGCGAGTGCAGCATGCTGTATCGTCTCCTCTTGTCCTGGAGGAAGGGAGAGAAAGAAGGTTGGGAATTAGGCTAGATGGCAGGAAGGACATCCACAGAGCAGCAAGCAGTGTGAGGCAAGGTGGTGGAGAGTCCATGTTAGAAGTGGAATAATAAAAAAAGTGTTTTGCTAGCTTGGAGAATTTAGGCAGACTTCTGTTTATGAGATGGTGAATGAAAATTACTTCATATCACTTACATTGTTTATATTTTAAATTATATTTTTTATTTAAAAAAATTTAAAAGGTAATTCTAAATGCCACTGCTGTCTCCAAATAGGTAAACAAAATGAACAGAATGAACCATCTATTCCTCCCATTCCATTCTCCATAGTATATACATACATATAAAACATAAAGGCTTTTGGGGATCATTTTTGTTTTACAAAAACTGGACCATATTACTTTCTATTTAGCAGTATCTTGAACGCTGCACTTTAAACATTTTGGAAATCCTGTATGTCAACTATTCTTTGAAACATTTGATTGTGCAATATTCTACCACCCCTATGGTTAAGCATTCACTTAGTGGCTGTATTTATATTTACATTTAACGCTTTATCAGTCAAAAAGTCAACATGTCATCCATTGATAAATACAAGGTGATGACAGAGAATACAAAAATCACAAAGAGAAAATGCTATTAACCTTCATTCCTTCAACAGTAAGTCAAACCTGATCAGACAACCAAAGTATAAGTCACCTGGTGTAGGAAAGAGGACAAAGTAGAAAAGGAAAAAAGGAGTAGAAAATCACCTTAAAAAATCAGTTCAATTAAAATAAGTATGTGAGACCACAGTGTCTTATGGTACCTATTATTGTTGGGAGCTCTGGGGAGGCTATGAGTACCTTTGGACTAGAAAAAGAAGTTTACGAAGTCCTGGAATTTACAAGAGAAAATTAGAAACCTAATTGACCAGTTCAGTTGTACAAATTGTTGTCTTCTCTCAATAATTAAGTTTATTTGATGAGAAATTCATATTCTGGCTACCAAATAATTTGTAATAATGTCTTTCACAATATTCTCCTGCTACGTGTAACATCAAATGACATTTTGAGGGGAGCAGCATTAATATGTGGCCATAGTTTTTGCCATCACAAAAAATTCTACAATTAATCCTTGGACATAACTCCATTATATCACTTTATTTCTGTTAGATCCCTTAGAAGGGATTTCTGGGTTGAAAAGTTATGTCTTTCTAATTTCATTAGTTATTTGTAGATTGTGTTCCATGGCCTGGCAACTATACCTCACAACTATACGCCCAGATCCAGTTCGTTCCTTCCTGCCAGGAACAGTCTTTCCAGCGAGGATGGCTGCAAGGGCATGTTTCTGGACCCCCACTGACCCCGGGCATTTCTAAGATACTTACAGATCTGGAGTTGGAGATGTATAAGGAGGCATCACACACAATGCCGTATCCCACCAGCCGTTCCCCAGGGAAGAGGGTGCTGGTGCTCAAGGGGGAGACCAGCACTTCGGTGGTCTCCGGGAAGACCCACTCCACAGTCACATCACTCAGGATTGGGGCCATGGCCTTCTTCAGGGATTTGACCATCTGTTGGGCAGAATCAGAACACTGGTTGGGGAGATGTGTGAGCAGGGGTATGTCCAGATGCACGAAGCCCAGGTGAGTATGACCATGCGGGGATGTGAGCAGGAAAGAAGTGACAAGAGGCCTTGGGATGGCTTGCCCACCAGTGAACATGCCACTTCTTAGGCTCCTACAATGCCAGAGTTGGAGCAAATGTTTGCTGGCGTCTTCCCTAAGCTTAGCATTTTATAAATGAGAAAATCCAGGACTCAAAGGAGGGTTGTGACTAGTCCAGGGCACCCAGAAAGTTTGTGTCAAAAACATGAACCAGAGAGTGATCTTCAGCAAGTCGATTTGCTTTCCTGGGCCTTCTTTTCCCCACGTGTTAGAGTGAGGGTCCAGCAGCAGAGGGACGGGGGCCCTTCCACCTACCTTGGGTTGCAGCCGCTCCCCCTCCATCAGGAACTCAGCACTGCCCTTGGACACGGTTGCCAGCCCCTTCACCAGCCTGTGGCAGACGTTGGGTCCAATTCCAAAGCTATAGCACCTGGGCAGGGGAGGAGAGAGGCTGCCACTTCCCATCCTCTCTGCCATCTTTGTCTCCTGGTGGGGCGCATGTTCCATGCGGACTCTCTCACAGCTGGCCCAGCTTCAGGCAGAGGGCCGGGGAAGAGGGCCATCAATGGGCATTTCCATTCACACGTGAAGCCCATGACTTCCGCCCCAGCGCAGAGTCTAAGCAGCAGGAAGGGCTTCCTTTGCCCAGGCTGCTGGTTGGGAGCTGGATACAGAGGTGTGGGCATCTCATCCCTCCTGAACTTTGAGGGGGAGAGGCAAACTTTGAGGTCAGCCATACGACCTTGGAAGCAAAGCTCTAAAATAGCGGTTCTCAACCTGTGGGTCGCTACCCCTTTGGGGGTCGAACGACCCTTTCACAGGGGTCGCCTAAGACCATCGGAAAACACATATATAATTACATATTGTTTACAGTAGCAAAATTACAGTTATGAAGTAGCAAGAAAAATAATTTTATGGTTGGGGGTCACCACAACATGAGGAACTGTATTAAAGGGTTGCGGCATTAGGAAGGTTGAGGACCACTGCTCTAAAAGGGTCTTTCCTTGTCTTCTGGCATTTTTTCCATGTGGCCCGGGTTCTGGAAACCCCAGTCCAGGGCAGCCCGGGATAACCACGTCCTAGACCTTCAGCTTGTGCCCACCTGGTGGAGAAGGCGTGGTTTCGCACCAGCTCCAGCACCTTCCCGGTGTTGTTGACGGCCCCGTCTGTGACCACGAAGAGGAGTCGCGGGTGGCCTCGGTGCACTGGCTGCCGGATGACCCACCTGAGCGGGGAGAGGATGTTGGTGCCACCCATGTCAGCCCGCATTCTCTGAATGTTTTCACAGGCTATGGCCAAGGTCTCCTGCAGGAAAGGCACAGGCAGGGAGAGAATTCCCAGGGTCACCGTATGGTGCGGAGACTCTGAGCCCCTTGGGGGAGGAGTCCTTTTGTTTCCCTAGATCAGCAATTTTCAACTTTTTTTTTTTTTAACATAAACTAATTACTAAAATTCCGAGGCACATCAAAAAATATATTTGTTGCTGATCTAACAAAAATAAAGGTATACTTTTGATTCATTCACACCAGATGGCTAATGCGTTGGCTGCTGTCATTTGTGTGTGTGACAATCTAAGGGGAAAAGAGGTCTGTGCCCCAGACTAAATAGATAGGTGTTGCATGTCTTAGAAATCCTTGCAGCACACCCGTTGAAAATCGCTGCCCTAGATAATACTCTAACCTCGCCAGAGTTGAGTCCTGTTCCCAATCTCACCTCTGCCCCACATACAGGAAGAATAATAGGTGGACACTTATTTGACATGGTTCTGCCCAATGACACCCCCACCAGTGCCTGCCGTGCTACCATTCTCGGTGTTATATTAACTTATCATTGTCCTTTCTGGCCCAGGATTACTGGCCTCGGATGAATGTCACTACAGCAAGGACAGATTCTCACTGGACATCAGATGTCCTTCTGCTCCTGACTCAGGAAGATGCTCTTCCAACATCCATGCTCAAAAGTCTTAAAATGTATAATGTACCTTTGAGCCAGAAAGACTAGAAATTTATCCCAAGGGAATCATGAAGGAGGGATGTGAAGCCTTTGATACAAAGGTGATAAGCAAAAAAAAAAAAAAAAAAAAAAAAAAGCAACTTCAGTGCCCAACTGCAGGGGTTAGTTAAATAAGTCACGCCTATCTGCAGTGAAACACTAGGCAGCCATTAGAATTATGCTGCGGATTTATACTTAATGTCATAAAAATGTGCTCATGATAGCTGTTGTGTTAGAAAAGTAGTTTCTGGAAGGCCTAATCCTATCTTTCCTGAAACTGTGGGTAATGCACAGAACAAGGTCTGGAGGGATTTACTCTAAGCTCTTAATATTGTTTTTCTTTTTGTTTTTCTGACGTGATCATGTGAGATTTACATATTTTTCTTTTTGATTATCTAGTTTCAAAGGATGTGGGATAATCAATATATTATTATTGCATTTAAAACACTCATAAACTACTTTTAATTGAAAAGTGGCTCCGAAGTCCTCCCTTCCTTCCTTCCTCTCTTCCTTCCTTCCTCCCTCCCTCCCTTCCTTCCTTCTTTCCTCCAATTCCTAGGCCTGCAATTCTGAACGTGCTGCTGGGGCCACAGTCCTGTTATTTAAAATTGTAGCTTGAGTCTCGTGAGTCCCATTCTCAGCCCACTTACCCACCTATTCACTCGGCCATCCCTTCCTGTTCACTTCTTTGGCTCAACCTTGCACGGATCTATTGTCCTCATAAGACAGAGGCTTCAAGCCCTGACCGGTTTGGCTCAGTGGATAGAGCATTGGCCTTCAGACTGAAAGGTCCCAGGTTCGATTCCGGTCAAGGGCATGTACCTTGGATGCGGGCACATCCCCAGTAGGAGGTGTGCAGGAGGCAGCTGATCGATGTTTCTCTCTCATGGATGTTTCTAACTCTCTATCCCTCTCCCTTCCTCTCTGTAAAAAATCAATAAAAAATATATTAAAAAAAAAAGACAGAGGCTTCAGTGAGTGGCAGGCCTAGGATATACATCCTCTTTCTACCCCTCCCTGGACCCCTGTCTACACACACCCACACTTTGTCCAACATGTTCTTTATTTTAAAGAGGAGGGTGTCAGAGGCTGAGGTGTTAGAGAACTGCCTGAGCAGAGTTAGCCTCTCTTTCCTTCTTGGCTCCTGGGTATCATCCTGGTCCTATACGTGTGGACAGCCTGTGAGCAGGCCTCCTCTCTCCTTTTCTGTCCGTTGCTCCTCACCACCCGCCCCTCCTGGTCCCAGCCTGGTCCTTCCTTACCTCGTTGTAGGTCTGACTGGAAGGGAAGAGGCTCTTAAATGTGGATCCAAACCCAATGACATTGAAGAGGCAAGCCGGCATGAGGCTCTTAAGAGCCACCAGCATGGCATCCTGGCAGGCAAGAAAGGGATTTTCAGGATTCGGGAAGGAGTTATAACTTCTGCCACTTCACACCGGTATTATTATCCCAGCAGGAATCTGTCCCACACAGGCCTTCCACCCCCTGCCTGCACCCAACAGCACCTTTTCCCCCAGATCAAGAAATCTGCTGATGCTGAGCGGAGGCTGGACCAAAGCCATCTCATGAAATTTCTCACTCGTGTAGCAAGTCTGACTTTTCAAAGCCATTCTGTTATGGTTGCCAGTTCCATCTCACCTCCTGCTGACCCTGAGAGGTAGGGAGAGCAGGGAGCACCCACTCCTTTCCGCCAAAACAAAATTGATGTCTAAGGGAGGCATGTGGCCTGATCCGGCTCACCCTGGTGATGGGACAGGCTTCTGGCTCTCACTCGGGGCCTTTTGCAGCAGAATTCACCTGAATTATCATTGACTAGGGATGAATCCCTTTGGGACAGTCTCTTTAGGTCATATTTGTTGAATGCCCAGGATGTACTTTACCTACATTACCTCATATAATCTTCACAATCACCCTTGAAGCAGGCACAATAGTATCCCCATTTTATAGAAGAGAACACTGAGGTACAGAGAGGGGAGCAACTTGTTGGTGAGCATTCAGATAGTAAATAGTGGAGGCAGGACTCAGACACGAGTCACTCTGCCTGCAAAGTCTGTGAACATTAGAATCGTAACCTACTTAACTATGCAACATCAGGAGACCCGGATAAAGGTATATTGGAAAAAACAATGCCAAAGAAGAAAAGGGGAGGAGATGCCAAGAGGGAAAAAGGATGATATTGATGATGAGGCAATGATAAGTATCAAGCAATTACTACAGATCAAGCACTGTGACCCACTCTTTATATTACCTCATTTAATCTCTAAAAGAGTGGTTAAGAAGATGCACTTTGATGTCAAACATATCTGGGTTTACATTGTACCTTCACTATTGCTAACTTGACCTTGGGCTAGTTATGTCATTCCTCTGAGTCTCAGCCCGGCACAGAGTAGACAGTCAGCAAGTGGTTATTATTATCTACCCAAGAAGATGCATATTAATATTAATACCTTTATTTTACAGAGAAGAAAACGGAGGCTTCGAGAGTTTAGGAATTGTACTGGATCGCAAAACCTAAAGATAGGACCGAGGCTTTCAAAACATAGCTCTGAGCCCTGGTTGGTGCAGCTCAGTTGGTTGGACATCATCCTGTGCACCAGAGGGTTGCTGGATCGATTCTTGGCCAGGGCACATGTCCGGGTTGGGTGCTTGATCCCCAGTAGGGGGCATGCAGGAGGAAGCTGATCAAAGTTTCTCTCTCACATCCATGTTTTTTTCGCTCCCTCTTTCTCCCTTCCTCTCTCTACATACCAATTTAAACATTTAAAAAAAAATCTTTAAAAAGCGAAGCTTTAAAAAACAACAACACAGCTCTGAAATCTTCATTCATGTTGGTGCTGCCTTGGCACAGAACCCAGGAGTTGGGGGGAGGGCTCTCCCTCACCCCCATATAGTCTACTGATGGCAGCCCAGGGATCTCAGCATGGCTTCAGGGAAACAAGCTGTTCCACTCCAGAATTTAGAAGTAAACAGCTGTAAGTGGATCCTAGCAACTTCCACACCATAAGGGCCTGCAGCCCCTCTCCCACCCCCTCTGTAAACATGAACATTAATGTTCTCTTTGTTGCTTGTGTCAATCCATTTTGTGTCTCTATGAAAGAAGTCCAGATCTGCTTATTTTTTCATTAGCCGCTAGTGTGTATTCCTGCTAGCAGGAGACGTTGCTGATCCATACAGATTGTCTCTGCTCACACCTATTAGAATTTTCAAAGCCGTGTTTTTGGCAGCAAGTGGCGGCTGAAGAATGAGACCAGCTGCAGGAAATTAAATTGGTTGAACTTTCCCCTTCCGCGTGGCTGTTTGGATTTCTATTCTCTCCCACCTCCCTATTTCCAGTTTTTCCTAAAACTTCAACATAATCAGCCACAATTAATGATGCAAGCAACCCCCCCCCATGACCTCATTATCAAGGTGGGGTGGGGGAGTGGGGGGGAGGGGTGTATGGCCTGAGTAATTTCTGTGTCTTTTTCTAAAAGGGGCAGGCGCATGTAGCAGAATGGATTGTGCTGATGCAAAGCCAGTTGTGAAAGGTAACCTTGAGGTCAGGGAGCTGAGCTGGAAAAGCAAGCAAGCAAGACTCCTAGGGGGAAGGAACTGTGAGAGGAGCCCTGGAGGGAGCTGTCATCAGAGAATTCTGGAATGTCAAGGTTGGAAAGGTCTTTAGTTCAGGAAATGGATTTCCAATCAGGAACCAGCTCCATTCAGCTGGTAGTAATGGCCTGCAGCACCTTGATGAGAACAATACAGAGACTGAGTCCAGACTCAGCGTGGAAAAGAATGTCACGGTCAGTTGTTGATGTCTGCCTGGGCTTGGGAGAAGGGAACAAAGCGATGTAGGACATATGGTTGCCCTCCCTGTATTAACCCTCCCTTCTCATTTTACAGACAGTATAAACAAAGCCCAGAGTTGAGAATCAATTTGTCCAAAGCCACATAGCCAGCCAGTGGCAGACTTGATCCTGGAACCCAGGCATTTCTCTTTTACTAAGTCATGCAGCAGAAAAGACATAATCAGAAAAGAGAGCTTTTCTTAAAGGGGGAGTAGGTGTAACTCCCTATCAGAAAGGTGAGGAAAATGAGCACTGAGCCAGGATAGGGAAAGCTTAGGCTCCCTTGTTAGCACTGTGATGTTCGAAAAACAGCCTCTCGGCGACTCAGTTTCCTTACCTGGAAATAGGCAGGGAAGGTGGATTCAGTGCTCTCTAAGGGATGCTCCATGATCCCATGATACTTAAAGTAACTGTGGAGACATCTTACAAATTGGTCCGGCTGTGGAATGGGATACACATGGGCACTGGACTGTGCTTCAGCACTCCAGCACTGTGGACAGCTCCCCATTCCAGTATTTGTTTTTGATGGCGGGCAGGAGCGGGGAGAAGGTACCAACCAGTCCTACATCCCAGTGTCAAGAGGCCTCAAATAGGAACTTGGGTTCCATATAGGATGCTCTCTCATGCTTCAAGACCAAACCCAGTCATAGCATGACTGAGGAGCTAGCTGGCCTCACAGATCCCACCTAACCTCTCCTCTCCTTGTTATCCTGTTGCCCTGGGAACAAGAGTTTGCTCCAGGCACAAACTGGGAAAGGAGCGAAATTTCAGGTGACAACTGAGCCCTCCCCCTTCTCCTTCCCTCATGCCTTGTTTTCTTGAACTGTGATCCTTTACCCAGTTCAATGAACCATGACTGAGGGTTTTTTATGCCTAAATATAGAGCAAGGCCCCATGGGGAGAGATATATGAGCAAAGATCTGGCCCTTTCCTTAATGAGTTTCCCATAACTCCAGATGAGACAGACCTGCACAGCTAGACATACAAGGGAGAGGTGGATAATGCCGGAACTGAGGCGAAGAATCTCCCGAGGGAGAGGATATGCTTCTAGACATTGGGAGAAAGGTGATTACTCTGTCTTCCTCACTCATCAGAAGTCTCCACAGCAGCGAGACCATGCTCCATACATGACTGGTTTGAGGGCAGAAACTGAGTTTACACCCTTCTGTCTTTTTAGACGGCCAACCACAAAATTTTGCCCATATTAGGCATTTTGAGGGGGGAAAAAAAAAGAACCAAATTTTTTCTACTGGATTCTACACATTATTTGATGACAGGGGCCATCTCCAGTGAATTTCTGATGTCAGGTCGCAGGGACAGACAGACAGACATGGGTTTAGTATTAGACCACACGGGCTGTGTGACCTTGGGTAGGTTATTGAAACTCTCAGGATGGGCTTTCCACTTTGGCAAATGGAGACAATAGCACTAACCTCAGGATTATTAGCTGGATTCAACACCCAGCTGTACCCCTCTCCACTCAGTACCTACTGAGCTGTGTTAGCCTGAGCAGCACTCAGCGAAGGTTGTAGAATGTCAAGGGAAGATGTTGATAACTTCATCCCTTGTAAGTGGACAATAGTTCTGCCTCTGCTCATACCACTTCAGGGTTTTCTTTTGGGAGCACATTGAGTTTGGGTGTCTCTGTTCAAACTGATTTTAAAAAGTTGTTGTCCCTTTTAGACATGGAGAGCCATTTAGGAAGGTGGTTCAGGTGTGGAAGAGGGGCTTCTTGGAACGGAAAGTGCTGATGAAGCTGGTTTGGGGGAGCACAGCTGATTTACCCTGGAGCACAAGACCCCGGGGAGGGGTCCTCTAACAGGTACCTTGACGCGGTGGATGTTGGTCCCACTCATGCTGCCGCTCCTGTCAATGAGGAAGATAAACTCGCCATGGGTCTTCCTCAGGTTCGGCTGGAATGACTGGAGGTCAGGACAGAAGTTGAGCATGATGACAGAATGGTGGGGAATGTCCTTGTGGAGGCGTTTCCGGATGATTTCTGTCTGGAGGAGAAAGAAAAACTCTCACTTGGTATTCAAGGCATCCATGCTGCTCACGTGGTCTCCCATTACTCACCAAGTAGAGTCAAGATCCCGCTCATGCCCTGCACGCGAGGCTTCCAGGATGACTGCACCTGGCTCTCTATTTGCTAGCGTTTCACTGGTTGCAACAGCAAACATGGACTTTGGAGGCAGAAGGCCTGGGTTTGAATCCCAGCTCTGTCACCGTCTCGCTGTGTGATCTTGAACAAGTCCCTCCCCTGGGCCTGTTTCTTCAATTTTAAAAACGAGGCACATAATGTTCCCTTCTCCGGGTGGTTATGAGGACGAACTGAGCTGGCGCCCAGATGGGAGGCCTTCCGTTGAGTAGCAGTTTCTTTCTCTTTCACACTCAGTGTCTGAGCTACTCTCTGGCTTATCTGGGCTGTGACCTTGGTTTCTCTGGTTTACTGAGTCTCTCCCACTGATAACTTTCTACTCTTTCTCTAAATTTTACCTTTTGGAAAGCCTGCCCCAATCTTCCAGGTGGACTCAATTACTTGGTCTCCTCATCTATGAACTAAGGACAAGAGTACGTGCCTCCCCAAGTTGTACGAATAAAGGCAATGCTTGTGAAGCCCGCTGCCTGGCAGTCGTCGGCTAAATGGTAGCCATCATCCCTGTTGTGGTTTGTCGTGGGCTCAGGCATTGCTCACATGCAGCTTTGTGCTCATATCTCTGCCTCCCCTCTCGCTTGTGTGTTACTTGAAGGTAGGTCATGCCTGAGCTTCTTTTTTTTTTTAATCTCTAGGGCTTAACACAGAGCCTGGTGCAGAGGTGGGCTCGGTAAACGAAGGGAGAACAGCCCCGTAGTTCTTGACCTTTTCGTGTGTTCTCCTGGCTGACGTGGTGCTGAGCCTTCCTCTCCCTCCATCTCCCGCCTCTCTCTGTCTCTTTATCTGACTGCCTCTGGGTGGACATGTCCCTTTGTGTCTGTTTTTCAGTTTTGGTCTCTTTGCATCCCTTCCCCAACTCAGTAGATGACATCATCACCCATCCAGGTGTTCAAACCAAAGGTGGAGGACTTGTCGTTGCTTCTTCTCTTTTTCTCATCCCACACATCTGCTCCTTCAGCGAAGGATTGCTAGTTCTGCAGCTAAAACACACCCCGAATGTGTGCTCTTTTCTGTCTCCACTGCCACCATCCAAGTTCAGGACACTACCATCTCTTGCCTGGGCCCTTGTCATCGCCTCTTACTGGCCCCTTTCCCCCAATTTGACTCCCTGGTGGCCCATTCTGTGTAGAGCAGGCAGCGAGATCATTCTTGCCATTCTCTTGCCTGAGCAACGGTTTCCCCTCATACCCTGTGCCATGGCGTATGAAGCCCCCAGGGCCTGACCCTGGCCTGCCTGTCCACCTCATCTTTGCCCACTCCCCACATTTCACCCACACAGCCGCCCATTTCCCAAACATGTCACCATTATTCTGTTTCCAGTTCTTCACTGTCCACCAGGTCTCATTCTCAGACAGGCTTTTTCTAGACACCTGGCTGAACAGCAGCCAGTGCTTGCCCCTCACTCCTACATCATCCTGTTTTATTTCTCTCCTGGTCCCCAGCCCTCTCCAAACGGACCGTGCTCATTTGGTTACTTCTTGTGTATCTCCCTGTGCTAGAAGGCAAGCCCCATGAGGACAAGGATGTGTCATTTTTAGTGTGGCCTCCCCAGTGTCTAGAATGGAGCCTGACATCTATTGGACACATAGTGTTTGTTGACTGAATAAGTGAGAGAATGAATCTGTGTGGGTCTGTCTACCACCGACCTGTGTGTGCAAGTTTGTTTTTTCTCTATTTGTCTCTGCTTCTCACCGCATCGCCGTCTTTTCTACATGGTTATCTTCCTGTGCCATTTGCTCCCTCTTTGCTAAATCACAGTTTTGACAGCTTGTCCCTCCCACTCTTCCTGATTGACATTTGCCTTCTGGCTGCCCGCCTCCCTCCTTGGCAAAGGATCAGGCTCTCTGTCCCGCAGGGAGCTCCTTTGCCAGAGCCACGCCCAGCCTGGCTCTCTCGATGACAGAGCCCAAGGCAGTAACAGCCACATCAGCCTCTCAGAGAGTGGGGGCCCCTGGCTCAGGATTCTCCAATGGCTCCTCAAGCTGCCATTATCTAATTATAATAAACTCATCACTTTGGGGCAGCTTCAGGCTGATGGCTGTCATTCCTGGAGCTCATGAGAATACAGGGTATTTGCACAACCAACCCAAGGTGGAAAACTAATTCTCATTCGCTTCAGTGGTCCCAGAGCTAATTGATTTAAGGTTTGGTAGGCGGGGGACCCAGCTCCAGCCTGGGAGGCCCATTGTCCCCCCCCCCCGACGTTGTCCACATGCTGTAGTTCTCAGAGCTCAGTACACACCTGGCATTGCCACCCCCACTCTGAGAACCTGGCTCAGCCTCTTCTCCCATCTGACTCATCTGGGTGAGGGGGCACTTCTGGGAGAGGTATTTCCAGTGGGTCGCTAACTGGCAGTGATGTGATGGGCACCGAGCCATCTACACCTTCCTTTTGTCATCCTCCCCATCTCCACCAAGCAGGTGCTTCCAGTGGGGCCTCTAACAGTCAGGGTGAGCAGTAGGCTGTCTACATGTGTTTCCGTACACTCCTCAGCGGCCACATCCTCTGCCAGCCAGGCCCGCAGGAATGGGAAGGGCTCCTAAATCTAGTGTCACTGCCCTCGGATTGAGTCTAAGTCCTTAGCTTCGTTGCCATCCAAGTCAAATCCCAAGAGAACGGTCTTCCCATGCCCCAGCTCATAGTTATTTTGGGGTGCTAAACCTCAGTTTTTTCAGCCAATAAGCAAAGAGAATAAAAAGAAGTGGGCCATCATTCTTAAAGGTATCTTGGCCTCGGACCCGGCTTGGTGTGCAGGGTCATGAACAGGAGGGAGACTGCCGGTACAATTTGTGGCCATCGGCTGAGCCTCCTAGCATTTCTTCCCCATGCGGCCCCTCAGCGGAGGGTCTCTTGTCCTTCAGCTTCGTGGGGGAGAGGGTAGGCAGAGGGGCAGGATCTTTGTTAGCCTTTCCCTTCCCTGGCTTTACTGTCTATGTAACAGCCACCAAGGACCCAGAGGAAGGAACAGCGAGAGACCCATTCAACAGGTGGGAAAACAGAGGCCCAGGAGTAAAGAAAGAGCTGGGAGTGCACCGGCTGTCGGGGTAATACCTGGGGAAGCACCAGCTGAGAATTTTACCCGGCTTAGGTACCTTGGTACCTTAGGTACCTGGCTTAGTCACTAGAGCAGTGGTTCTCAACCTTCTGGCCCTTTAAATACAGTTCCTCATGTTGTGACCCAACCATAAAATTATTTTCATTGCTACTTCATAACTGTAATGTTGCTACTGTTATGAATCGTCATGTAAATATCTGATATGCAGGATGGTCTTAGGCGACCCCTGTGAAAGGGTCGTTCGACCGCCAAAGGGGTCGCGACCCACAGGTTGAGAACCGCTGCACTAGAAGGTGACCTGGCAGACAGCGTGAGGACAGCACCAGGGTGACTGCTACAACTGAGAGCCATTTGCCTCTGCCCCGCAGTGCCCCGGCCCTTTGCTGCCCCCCCTGACCACCCCCCCCAAAGGGAAACATTGACAAGGACCTGCCACCAGCTGCTGCATGACCTCAGGCAAGTCCCTGCCCCAGCTCATTCTCCTCAGTGAAGTCCAAGTCCCCAGTGCCACCCCGGTTCTGCCACCCCTGGCTCCTCCTTCAGTCGCCCTCACCTTTCGCTCTGCACTGCTGTCCTTCTTCATCCCTTTAATGAAATCTGCTCTTCCCCTCAGGTGCTGCTCAAATTCTCCCACGGTCATGTCCCCTTTCTCCATCAGGACATGTGGCATGTGGGGCTCTGCAGAGATGAGATCAAGTCTTGGCACGTGCCCGAGTGTGAGGGTGATGCCAGGGGCCTCAGCTTAGGGGCGGAATCCTCAGAGTGGGGAGGACTCCCAGTAGGAAGAGGGGTACAGAAGCCCTGGCTGCCCGAAGCAGGGTGAGGCCATGGGAAGACTCCTTAGCTGGGTGGCAGAAGTGCCTAGTGGCCATGGCTGACCCATGGCCCCTCTCTGGGCCTCAGTTTATCCATCTGTAAAATGGGAGTGGGACTGGTTGCTCTGATATTTTCAGGTCCTGGCATTCTAATGAATTCTTAGAGACAAAAGAGTTGTTCCCTGAGAGGTCAGAGCTGCCAGGGCCTCCCTGAGCTTGGGTTTCAAAGATCCTCTGCTCAGCTGGCCTGCGGACAAAGTGCCTGCCCCAGTGGATGCACGAGATCCTGGAGCCTCTGGGGCAGGAGATACTCAATTCCACCAGCTGGAGCCAAGTTTCCGCGGAGGTTGGTCTCCTCTCCTCTGCCACACACCCCTACCCTTTCCCTGGCTGACCACTGGGCGAGGGGCCACCTGTCTGTGCCCCATGGGCTCAGCACCTCCTCCCTCCCACAGGCTTCCCGGGGGTCCACCCTGGGGCACGGTACCGCTGGGGTGGATGAGGATCTCCACCGGCCGGTCGAAGGTGTGCCTGTTGGCCAAGGTGATGATTATGCTCTTGGCCGAGCATGCGGACGGGGCGGCGTCGGCTCGAATCTCATGGGTCGGACTCTCTACCCCTGAGTGGCACAGAAAGGTGGGATAGGCTCAGGAGCCCTGAGAGAGATAGGGGCTTTGTGGGGGACACTGAGATGCAAGCCAGAGATGACACTCCTGCCCGTCAGGGGCGCCTGCCCAGCTGGGTAGCCATGGACAGGTCTCCTCAATTTCCCCATTTGCAAAGTGGGGACCCAGTGGCGGGGAGCTGAAGGAATTGCCTCCCATGGAGGCGCATAAAGATAGAAGATGCTCAACGCTGGATCGGTGGGCACCCCATGAACACCTCTCAGGCTGGAATGCCATGCTGCTCTGACAACACACTTGTTGATGAGAAACCACAGCCTTTTAAAGCCTTGAGTGGGCTGGAGAGGGGAACTGTCAGAACAATGGCTCCAACTCTGGCTGCAGGTTAGAATGGCCTGGGACCTTCTGAATAGCCAATACCCAAGGCATAGCCCAGACCAAGGGCCCCAGAAGCTCGGGCGGGAGATGGGTGGCAGGATTCTGGAAGATCCCTGGTGATTCCACTGTGTAAGTGAGAAGCAGGAAGCGGCTCTATGGCTGAACCGCTGGGAGGGGACCAAGAACCACCCGCGCCATGCACATTCCCCAGGAGGCCATGGCGGTGGGGTGGACAGCCTGGAAGGCTCATTGGGAAGGGCTCATCTGTGGCTGGGGAGCAGGAAATGGGAATCCGTGCAGCTCCATGTACTTCAGGATGTCCTCCATCCGGGCCTGTCACATCCCCCACCCTCCCCTTACGCTCTGCCCTGGGCAGCTTTGGGCCGGAAGCCCTCCCCAGCCTGGGCCCTCAAGTCTTCCTGGCGCCTACCTGGGTCTGGGCAGCTCCCTCTCACCTGCGAGCAGGCATGGCCCACGGATCTCCAGCTGGAAGTTGAACTCATATTCCATGGGGTTGGACACATCCATGTCCAGAAGAGTTGCCAGGCACAGCTTGTTCCAGGAGTCCAGGGCCCGGGCGCCGAAGCAATGCTTGTCTTTGCTGGGAAGGGGGTTGAGAGGAGGAGGAGGA